AGAGTCAGAGCGCGGACCAACGGATGCTGCCGCTGCTGCCGTCGCCGCTATCTGCGAGAAAGAGTAGCAGCGGATCCCGAGCAGATTCGGCGCCCACGATCGCCGACGACGGACGACGGGGTCGGTGGGGAAAAGAGCGGACGAGAAGAGCGGAGAACAGTGTGGAACCGAAAATAAAATCTGCAGCGGCCGCCGCCGCCGCCGATGCCGTTGCAGTCATCGACGACCGTCGCTCTGCAGTGAGTTCTACTTCTCTCCGCTCTCTTGTCTTCGGATCCTCTCACTTGTCACTGGTCCACTCCTCGCTGCCGCTAATCTGCAGCTCCAATCAAAGATGCCCGTCTTCTAAGTCGTCTTTCTAGTCGTCTTCTTAACCGTCTTCATCTTCATCTACTCCGTTCTATATGTTCACGCATCAGTAAACTCGGTCAACAGCGGCGACAGCCAATGCGAGATGGTTATGGTTGGTCTTTTTCTTCATCAGCTCATTCAGCAACGACCGTCGCCACACTGTGTGAAGAAGGAGGAAGGGGGGTCCTCTTTTATTGAGCAGCTCTAAATGGGGGAAAGAAAGAGAGATAATAAAAATGGCAGGGAGATGGGGATAGGGTTTAGAGCCGCTGTGCTGTCTTTTTTTTGTTGGCTGATTCAGTGAGCCTTCCATTGAAATAGCTGTTTGCTTTCATCAGTTGATCACCGTCAGCTTGGTCTTGTTTCGCCTGTTTACACTAGCAGAACTGCCCGTCCGGTTCTTTTCGCACTTGTCAAAGGGAATCAGGTCAATGTTGAAGGTCTGCTTGGGGCCGATCTTGCAGCTGACGTTGAGCAGCTGGCCGGCGTACTTCGCCCGGTCGCGTACCATCCAGTAGGAGTTGCAGTCGCAGGTAAGTGGGCTGTCCTGCAGGCTCACTCGGTTTGCCCGGTTTGCCGCCAAAAACGGTCCGAAAACCGCCTCGTCGAGGTAGCCCAGCTCGGGATTCCAGTACAGTTCTAAGTGGATTGGTCGCTTGGCGTTGAGGAAAAGGCCTTTCTCGAAGCTGGTCGCATTTAGACGATTGTTGCCCAGGTAAATGTACAGCGTCGCATTGGAAGGCCGCTCAAAGTCGAAGGCGTTCGCGGGGAGGTGGCTGATCCGTTGGTGGGACAGGTAGAGATGCGTCAGGCGGTTCAGGTAGTAGAAGGCAAAGTTGCCGATCCGTCTGATGGCCCCACTTCGACTGCTGAAGGCGTTGAAGTTGAGCTCCTCGAGGCGAAAGTCCTGGCCGGCGCGCTTGCCGAAGGCCACCGTGGGAACGGCTCGTAGCCGATTTCGATTGAGGGCAATTCGCCGGGCATTGGTCAGTGTGTTGAAAGCGTCAAAGAGCTCACTGGCGTACTGGTCTTCGCCGAGGAGGCTTGAAAAAAAAGAAGTTTTGAGAGTTAGAAAAGAGAAATCGAAATTCTGTTTCAAAAAAGCAACAGCACCAGGAAAAGTAAACAACTCCCCTCAACAAATGACGTGCTGCTCTGGGTGAGCTGAACGTTTCTCGAATTACTCAAAAATCCTCAAAAACTGGCCAGAAAACTTACCTCTCCCCACGGGCGACAAACTCCTCGACGTAGCGGCCACTCTCCCCGAAAGCACCACCGGCCAGTCGCCTGAGACTAAGCGCATCCACCAACTCCACCTTGCGAAATCTAACCCCGCCGAGGACGCCTTCCGGCAGCTCGCCAATGTCGGTGTTGTTGAGGATGAAGGCGTCGAAGATTGTGCTGGCGGATTCTTCCACTCCAGCCGCCCTCAGACTGCGATTCAGCTTCTCAAAGACCGCCTTCAGGTTGTAGCTGTACTCGCCGTCGCAGGTGATCCGCCCACCGGTGGTGCAGTGACACGGGTGGAGGAGGTAGTTCATTGGACAGCTTGCTGAAGAAGAAGAAGAAGAAGAGGAAGCACTGGTGTCGGGTGATTCAGCGATCGGCAAAGCTCTGACCGCCGAACACCACAGAAGCGCAAGCAGTGCTGAAAGGGAACAGTGGGAAGGCGGAAGTGAACATCATCACAGTAAAATTCCAGAAAATCTCACTTACCTTGAAGCAACATTTGAAGAGAAGGAGGAGGTAAGTAGAGTCTTGTCAATGATAAAATCAGTGATCACTGTTCTGGTGTTTGCAACAAAAAACTGCTGTTGATGTCTTTTTCACCGTTCTCCGCATCAGTTGATGCTGCTGCTGATCCTTTTCCCTTTCACTTGCTCAGCTGCCATCTATGCTGTTCAACAACAGTGTTGCTCCAATGGACAAGTCCCGCCTTGATGTTGCTGCTGGAACAAAACAAGTCAGCATCAGCCGTGATCAATGTTGTCCACAAGTTGTCGAGTACGTGCTCAACACGCGTCAGAGATTGAAAATCGAACTGCCATTTTCTTTCTCTCTATCACTTTATCTCTCTCTCTCCCTACAGATCACCTTCAGCTGCCACTGCTGCCGTCGTCGTTGTTGGAATCCTATTGAGGTCATGTCTAATGGTATGCAAATCAGGCAGCAGGCAATAGCAGGACAAACCAACTGACTCGGCACAGTGTGCACCGCCACCGCCGCCGCCGCCGCCGACATTGCCGATAAATCATGGGAGAATGCTATGTGGTAGCGTCGGCGGTGGTGGTGGCGGTAATAATTTAATTGATTGAGAAGATGAAAGAAGCTGACGCGAAGGATGGAAGAGGAAAAGGAAGAAAAGAACGAGGAACGAGTTTAGTTGAAGAAAAGGATGCGGCGGCTTCATTAACTGCGATTACTATGATTGCAAAGAGTGGAAGACAATACCACCAACACCATGTGGTATTCACTCACCAAGCACACATACACACACAGTGTGTGGTGGTGGTGATCATTACAATCACCCGGCCTCACAGCGGGCGACAGTAGCAGCAGAAGCAGAAGCAGCCGCAAACTGTTCCAAGACTGTTCCAACAGCCCCTTCTGCCGCTGCAACTGACAGGAGGTAGCCGTTTTCTAATTTTTCTCTCTCCTTCTCTCTCTCTCTCTCTCTCTCTCTCTCTCTCTCTCTTTGTTTCATGTGCAGCCAAGCAGCGCAAGACCAAGAGCAAAACCGAGCTGAATCCCATTCCCTTTACTCACTTTTCGGGTAATAAAAAAGAGTGGAAAAGCTTAAGCTGCTGTTGATGCTGTTAAAAGGAAAAAAGAGCTGAAGACTAAAGACAGAAGTTGTCACGCAAACCTGTTTGATTGGAAAGAAGAAGACGGTGAAGAAAGAGCGCTCTCTTCAAGAGACACTTTGTAGTGTCCGTCTGATGCAGCCGATGCAGCAGCAGCACTAATCCAAAGCACACATTGCACTTTCATGGCACCGCAAAAAAAGACGGTGCTGGTGCCATTAATTTTCGAGCTTAGACGACAAACATAAAAAGAAGACTGCAGCAGCAGCATTTGAACATGCTCCTTATCCCCTTCGTTTTTATTTTATTGGCTCTACCACCACCACCACTACCGACTGCAAATATCCGCATTTGCGGAAAAGCGGACTGCTGATCAGAAATAATCAGCAAAAAACTCTCCGACTGGCTATAACCAGACCAGAGCTGAGAGGCAACTAACGTCTGCAGCAGAGTCATGTGGCTACCGTCCTCATCGCTAAAACGTTTGGGCAATTAAACACACGGCAGCGAGTTGACATTGAAAAGTGGACGAGGAAGAATCCTACCTGACTACCCTACCTATCTTCCTACCTGTTCATCACGACTGGTCATCGGAGGTTGTAAAGTAGAAAGATTGAATGATTTGATAAGAGCCCCTCGCATTCTCTCTAATCCTTTCGTCGATCGCCCGATTAAACAAACAAGATCCTCGTAGGTGATGGCGAGATGGTAACGAACTTCGAGCGAGGAAGAAGAAGAAGAAGGGGTCGCCCACCACTTCTGATGGCTTATAAAACGGCCCGTCTGGTCGGCGAGCCAGCTGCAAAAAGAAGGTCGAGTTTCGAGCGACTCGACTTCTTCTTTTTCTGTGCCTTACCCCATCATGGCGCAAATCTCCATCATCCTTTTCTTCGTCTTGCTTCAACTGCTGACGATACAGCCTGCCTGTAAGTATAATAACAGATCGAAGATTACAGTTTTTAACGGTCTAAAACATCCAAAAACCTTACCAATTTTTCCTTTTTCTTATTTCAGTAAGCCTCGAGTGCGGCGAGTTCTACAGCGTCCACCACCACCACCTGCACCATGCCAGTGAGTCTGCGGACAATGAACAGCATCATGAGGACTCCATCCTCGAGACTCGAATCGTCAACGGCGAGCTGGCCTCACTGGGCGAATTTCCCTGGCAAATTTCCATGCAGCGACGAGTCAGACCAAAGGTGGCCGCCGCCGCTGGTTCGGGTTCGGCTAATAAGACAGCTTCGCCACCAGCGGCAGCTCTCCCTGGAATCGCCTCCACCAAACCGGAAACGCCGTCATCCTCACCACCGCCTCCACCAGCACTGCCATCACAGCCTCCAGTCCCGCAGGATCCCGTAGAGAAAGTACAAAACACTAGCAGCGCCAGCAGCAGCTCAAACGAAGCCAACCTCATCACCGAGGATGAGATCCTCGACGAGAGCCTCTGGGGCCGCTTTCTCTGGCCGGTGCTGGCCGCCCAGAAGAACATCACCTTCCTGCAGAACAACATCGTCAACTGGCCACCGCCCGTGCCGACGCACGCCCCAGGCAGTCAGACCTTCCCGCCGCTGCCGACCCATCCTCCCGGACAGCGACTGCCACCGATTCCCACGCACGCTCCCGGCTCGCAGACATACCCGCCGATGCCGCCAATGCCCACATTCCCTCCTGGAGTGGGAAGCGGAGGAGGTGCTCAGCGACCAGGCTGGGCGCCAGGTCCCGGTCAGCAGTGGCCACCACCAGCAGCCTATCCTCCTCGCCTGCCACCCAGGCCACAACCACTACCGCCACCCTCTTCCACCTTCCCCCCACTGATTACCTCAACATCGAGCTCATTTCCTCCCTTTCCCTCCTCGACGACCTTCAGACCACCACGGCCCACGCAGCCACCTCAGCCACCTAAACCTATCCCATCACTTCCTCCTCCCTCTCCTTCTCCTCCTCCTCCCCGCCCTCGCCCCCCTCGTCCCCCAATGGACCCCAGCCAAAAGTGGCAGCACTTCTGCGGCGGCTCCATCATCGACCCCAGCTGGATCCTCACGGCGGCGCACTGCGTCGAGGCGCTGAAGCACACCTACACGCCCGGGCTGATTCGCGTCGTCGCAGGCAGCCTCGACTGGCGCAACCTCGACCAGAGCCAGCGCTCCTCTGCGCAGGTCATCTCCGTGGACCGCATCGTCGTCCACCCGGGCTGGAGCCAGGCCAGTGGCCAGAACGACGTCGCCCTGCTGCACCTGCAGACGCCGCTGGAGTTCACGCGAGACGCCGACAACGCCAAGGTGGTCACCGTCAACAAGGTCTGCCTGTCGCGCTCGGCAGAGGGCGAGCACTCGGGCATGGCCACCAGCAGCGGCTGGGGCTTCCTCCACAAGGACCAGCGCGTGTCGCCCGATCTGATGCGTCGCGTGGACATTCCCGTGGTGGACCACGCCACCTGCCGCTCCGCCTTCAGTCGCGTCATTGGCGTCACGCAGATGCAGGTCTGCGCCGGCCAGGCGCCCAAGGGCAACTGCATGGGCGACAGCGGCGGGCCGCTGGTGCAGAAGTCGAGCAAGGGAGGCAGCGGCCGGGCCACGCAGATCGGCATCGTCTCCTTCTCCATTCCCTGCGCCGTGCCGGGCTACCCGGACGTCTTCACCCGCGTGGCCAAGTACCTGGACTGGATTTCGCAGAACAGCGGTATTCCCTTTTAGTGTTGAGCAGAGGGAGCGTGTGTGGAAGTCTTCTTCTTCTGTTTTTGTACCTCACAGCCCTTTTTGAGACTTGCTTATTTATTGATACGATATAAACGTGTGTGTGCTTGAATGTGTGGTTGTTGAATGCAGGCCCTCAGTAGAAAGAGATGTGGAAAGGGAAAGGACGTGGAAAAGCGGTAGTGCTGCTGCTAGTCCTTGCGCAGCGGAAAGTACTCCACCGCCTTCGGGTCGTTGCCGCCGTCCTTGCGAATGACCTGAATGTGGACGCCGTCGCCGACGTAGATGTCGCGCTCGCCCGCCGACACAAAGGCGTCCTTGATGACGCTCTTCACGTACTCCTCCGTCAGCTCGCGCTTCTCCACCGGCTTCTTCTGGTTCAGCTGGCCGATGACGCTGTCCAGGAAGGGCTGAATGAGGGGCGCGCTGCTGCCCACAGAGTGGAAGGTCAGCCGCTCGAAGCAGCCCACCGGGTCGTAGTCGTAGACGCAGCCGACGCCGTTCTCGTCGATGCCCGCCACCATGTTGCTGATGTAGTAGGGGAAGAAGCGCTTCCCGTAGAGCATCGTCGAGACGAGCTGCGCCACGGCGCCGGTGCTCATCGCCTTGCGGTGATCGTAGTTGTAGAACTGACGAGGAGATTTGGGGTGCCGGGGATAATGGACGATAATGTAATGTAAGAACAGACGAGAACATAGACTGGTGACCACCTACCTTGATTCGGGCCTGCAGCACCTTGACAAAGGTGATGACGTCGCACCAGCAGCCAGTGGAGAGGAGGACGGTGTTGTCGGTCCTGGTGAGGTTTTAGGAGTTGGGGAAAGAAGATGAGAAGGTTAGTGGTGTTCATCATTTTGTCATCAAAAGAGGTAAACTCTGCAGCTTACAGGTTGAAGATCTTGGACTGCTCGCGAGTATAGATGCTGTAGCCCTCGGAAAGACGGGTGTCCGAGGCGACGACGACAAAGTCTTTGCCGGCCACGGCGACGGTAGTTCTACACGGGAAGATGGACACAATGTTAGAGAAATGATAAGCCGGTTCAACGTCAACACTGTTTCATCCTCTCTTACCCGCCATTGTCGCTGTACGGATGAAAATGGTGCATCATCGGCTGACCAGGGGCGGCGGTGCTCGGCTCTGAGGTCATCAAGGCCATTCTTGAGTAGATTGATGGGCGTGGGTGTCTTGGAACTGAAGTTACAATGACTTCTGGTGGTGATGACAAGCCAGCAGATTGAGGCACAACAGTGAAATGACTTGCAAAGATTCAAAGCGCCGCATAGCAAAACATTGAAGAGCGATTCACAGAGGACGTGATTGGTTTTGGTTTAACCAACTGACAAAAGGTGGCGCCAGAGGTTCTGCAAAGTTTATTTTTAATTTTTTCTGAACACGAGAAAAATAAAATTCATGGACGATTTTTTGACGC